AGTCATCAATTTGAAAATAAGCACTGAGACATAAGTATTGGAAAGATCCTAAAAGGTGTTACAGAAATCCACAAAATAGACCTGACCACAGTCAGGTTCCAGCTGATTAGGCAGGAAGTTCCTGTCCCCAGCTTTATAGAGCTGCAGCATGGAAGACCTTGAAAAGCAGCAGAGTATCCCCACATGCCAGCCTGTGAAGGATATGACCAATTAGCTTCACTTTAATATTAAATATAGATTTCCCATAAAACTCAATTTGCTGTTTCATTAGCATAGTTAGAGAAAATTTTGCTAGGAGCCAAATGTGTTTTTTAAAAAATTTAACCTCACACTAGGGATTAGATCAAGGATAAATGATGAGTTGTGTTCACAAGAACTTTAATAAGAAATTGGCTGGACTACAGGGCCAAGCAGAACTGAGGGAGTGCAGAGCAATCCTTGAACTCAGAAGTCAAGAAGGATGAAGGAAGTGGAAAAAGCAGCCCGTCATTCCTCCTTTCTGAATTGCAGCATACGGTCCTATACGGATGTTCCTGCTTTTCTACACAGATGTTTGGGTTCTGTGTCATTCCCACAGTGAGAGAAACAGAAGCCCCTGCTGACTTTGAAGCTAGAACTCTACCCACACCATCCTGTGCTCCTTCCTCTTTCCTGGCTCTTGTCATTGTCCTCCTCACACACTCCCTATCCCACTTCTCTGGCTCCCATCCTTCCCCAACTCTTCCCAGCAAGGCCAACAACTGGTACACACTACACCTGTCAAGCACCTTCCAGTCCTTTGGGATGAGCCTCCACCAGCCACTCATCTCCCAGTCAGCTTCAGTGTCGTGATGGTCTCCAACTCTGGACGACTCCCTCACACCATGCTTAGGAGCAGCATTTGTCTTTGCTTCCAAAGCTCCCATCCCATATATCTCTGCCACTCTTCTGTCTCCCTCACAGGGTCACAAGCTCTCTGAGAGCTGGACATGTTTCTTCACATTTCACATCCCAGGACCTGGTGCAAAGTAGGTACTCAGTAACTAGGTGGTAAACCAATGACTAAACAAATCCCAGTCACCAACATAGTGAGCAGATAAATGTCCTCTGGGAATCTGCACCCTTCTCTCACAGGAAGGATGACTAAGGATCCACTTCCATATCATCATCCCATGTCTTCACCCAAGTACCCCTCCCTTCAGTGTGTAGTGACAGAGAATACTCCACCCCTGCCTTCCCATCTGCTATTCTTAACCTGTACTCTGGAAAGCATATGGCTATACATGTAACCTCCTGCTTATTTCTGGTCACTACAGCAATTTGTATCATGATGCAGGTAGGAATACCAAACTAGAATCAGACATCAGACACTTTCTAGCTACCCAGTCACTGCAGAGGTGACATCTGTGGTCATTTAACCTCTTTTCCAGCTTCTCCAGGAAGTAGGTCCATGGTACGATGGTTTGGATCTGAAATGTCCTCCAAAAGTCTCATGTATTCAAAAGCGAGGCTTTAGAAGGTGATTAGATCATTAGGGCACTGTACTTATCAGTGTTGGGTAACAAATCATTGATGATTTCATAGCTGCCTTGTTGAAACAGGTGGGTCACCAAGACATGACCTGGAAACCTGTATTCTCCATGGCTCCTCTATTCTTTCTCTGCTTCCTAGCTACCATGGGTTAAGTACCTTTTCTCTGCCATGTCCTTCCACTATGCCAATTCTGGTTGGACCTAGCTGACCATGAACTGAACCCTTTGAAACCATGAGCTAGAATGAGCTTCTCCTCCTTTAAATTGTGGGTTTGGGGTATTTGTCCCAGTGATGGGAAAGTGACTAATAAAGAAAACTGGTACCTGGAATCTGATCATTGCTGTGATTCATAAGCCTTTGGAAATGGTTTGCAGGAGAAGTTTGGCAAAGCTTGGAGGTGGAAACTTAAAAAGCACTAGAATGCTGTAAGCAGAGCTTGACAGGTGATTCTGGTTGGAGCTCAAAAGTCCGCAATGCTAATAGGAATGCAGAGAGTAAAGCCCATGAGATTTCAACAGGGAATGAAGAGTCTATTAGGAAATGAACTAGGGGCAGTGTGTGTTTTATTCTGTCAAAGAAGTTGCCTACATTTTATCCTTGTCCTAAAACTTTGTGAAGCTGAATTTAATGTGGCAGACTAATACAATTGCCAGAGGAAATTTCAAGGCAGCCCATTGTTCAGGTTGGACATGAGAACTGCTGACTGCTTTCAGCCATATTTACAATGAAAACTAGGAGCAAAAAACAGGGCCAAAAGATATGAAAATTTTACAGCTTAGCCACAAAAGAAGCATGTGTAAAGTTGGGTCCAAGGAGAGTATTGTTGCCAAAAAGATTAGTACTATTGAAAAGAAGTCAAGTACTTTCCACTGGAACAGTAGAAAAGACATCTTGAGGGCATTCAGAAATTGGCCAGGCCCCACCTTTTGTAGCCTCAGGGCCTAAATGGGTAATATCCCTTAAAGGCTTTGAGATGAGGGCCCCATGGATCCATGCTCATTTAGGGCTGCTTAAGTAAATGTACCTCCAAGTTCAGCCACCTAAGCCTTTAGAAGCCACTGCAGCCATGGTCCAAGGGGGACTAGCTACTGCCTGATCTGGTGACAGAACTTGGCATCATCCACATGGGGCTGATTTTATAGCATGTAGAATGCAAAGGGTGTGGAGTCAGGGAGGTGTCAACCTAGATTTTAAAGGAAGGCTTGAGAGGCCAGGCAAGGAGCCCCTGAGAAGATAATGACTGAGCTGTAGGAATGAAGCTGAAGTACACTGGGGACCTCAGGAAGTTGGAGATGTCAAGAACATGTATCATCTGCCAAGTAAAGCTACAGGCAGTGAGCAGAGCCAGCCTAAGAAAGAGCCCATTAGCTGCAAACAGCAAGGCCACAGGGGGAAGGCTGCACAAACAATGTGGAACTCACCACAATCTGTCACAAGTGCTGAACATGGAGCTGCAGGATTTAATATTTGCCCTGTTGTGTTTCAGCCCTGCTTTGGTCCCATTCCTTTTTATGCCCCTATTTCTCTCTTTTGAAATGATAATGTTTACCTTGTGCCATTATGTGTTAGAAGTGTTTGACTTTCTTTTTTATTTTTACAGAGGCTCACAACTAAGAATTTTCCTTGAGTCTCAGAGGAGTCCTTGGACTTAGACTTTTCAACACTGCTGGAACTGATAAGACTTTGGCACCTCTTAGAGATGGACTAACTGCATTTTGGATAATGAGATGAACATGAGCCTTTGGGGGCCGGAGCAAAATATTACAATTTAGATCTGAAATGTCCCCCAAAAGTCTCATGTGTTCAAAGGTAAGGCTTGGGATGCCATTCCTGGCTTTGAACTACCCAAGTATGGACTGAACTCTCTGAAACCATGAGCCAAAATGAATCTCTCCTCCTTAAAGCTGTGGTGTCAGGTAATTTGTTCCAGCAACAGACAAGTGACTAATACATCTGAGTAACATGTTTAACAGCATTTGATGGCTACTGGAGGATTTCCTCATCAAGATAATTGCTGAGGTAAATCCATTCCCTCATCACCATCACACAATACTTAAAATGCCCTGTCAAATATGGGGAAGAATCACAGTTTTAAAAAATCAAACTGAAGCTTGTTAAGCAGAGCTGGCTCCCAAGCTTCAGACTGTCAAGGAACATGATTCTTGCTCCTGTGAATCCCAAGTGCTCACTGAAAATATTCTAGTTCCATCCGTAACTGTGGAATGAAAGCATACAAACTTAATGGGAAAACAACTCCTGCCTTATATCTCATGATTATGTGGTTCAGGAAATCTGGCAACATTTGACCAGGTGATTCTTCTTTTCCTGAGGTGCTGTGGGGTCACTTGGTACTTTAGTGGGCATATGTGTTCTCTGGAGGGACTAACTGGTTTCACTCCGTGGCCACAGAGCTGCAGGAGAAGGGATGGCTTAGCAGGCCTGCAGGCTGGGTGCAGACAGGGCCCTCCCCACCAACCAAGCTTCCCAAGTGGGAAGGGTGTTCCATGGGGGTGTTCCTGCAAACAAGGCAGAAGCACATGGCCTTTGGTGACCTAGTCTCAGAGACACAGAGCATCACATCTGCTGTGTGTAACTGTCCGAGACAGCCCACCCAGACTCCAGGGGAAGGGACAGAGGTGCTACCTCTCAATGAGAGGTGTCTAATGGGACATTTTAAAACCTGTGCAGGAAGCGGTAATACTCAAAAGGAACTTTTTTTAAAAGAAACATCTGAAAAAAGAACTTCTAAAAAACAACTTGACCTACACAAGAATACTTACAGCAGCTTTATTTGTAATCAACAACTGAGATAACCCAGCATCCTTCACTTGGATGAAGGATAAACTTTGGTATATCTATGCAACAGACCACACCACTCAGCAACAGAAAGAGGCAAGTTACTAATATGATGAGTTGGCTGCATCTCCAGGTTCCCTGCTGAGATAAAGAAGCCAGGCTCAAAGGTCACATACTCTGTGATTCCATTTCTACAACACTTTTGAAAATACAAGACTATAGTGATGGAGAACAGTGCACGAGGTCCAGTCAGGGGTCAGGAATGCTGTAACTACAAAAGAGCAGCACCTGTACCTGGGTAAGGGACAGTTCTCTGTCTTGACGGTGGGTGAATACATGTAAGTAGCAAATTTTATAGAGCTACAAAGCCCTCTGCAAAAGCCACACTGTTTGTTAATTTAAAAAATAAGGCTAGGGGTGGGGCAAACACCTGTAATCCCAGCCCTCTAGAAGGCTGAGGCAGGAGGATCATAGGTATGAGCCCAGCCTGGGCAACTTAGCAAGACCTTCTCTAGAAATAAAAATAAAAAGGGGCTGGGGGTATAGCTCAGTGAGAAGGTCCTAGGTTCGATCCCCAGTCCTGCAAAAAGAAATAATGAGTAAAATGAAATAAAACAAGTTTGAAAGGGCCGAGGATTTAGCTCAGTGGTTCTGCCACCTGCCATGCAAGCAGAAGGACCCGAGTTCGATCCCCAGTACCAAAAAAAAAAAAAAAGTTTGAATCAATAATAAGTAATTTGAAGACTAGATCATGGGCATGGCTGTGGTTCCAAACGGGAGGCTGAGCACTTGTGTAAGAGTGTGATGAGCCGGGTAGGCACCTCATATTCTGTGTTGTTGTAACAAAGTCCTGAGACTGGGCCGGGGATTTAGCTCAGTGGTTTCGCCGCCTGCTGCTCAAGCGCAAGGACCCGAGTTCGATCCCTGGTACCAAAAAAAAAAAAAGAGCTGAGAGTGGGTGATTCGCAGAGGATGGAGACCAGTTTCCTCACATTCTGGAGGCTGCTAAACCCAGAGCCGAGGCTTCAGCATCTGGGGATGGATTCTTCCTGAGTCTCCCATGGTGAAAGCTGACAGGATAGAAAGAACCCAGGGCCAGAGTGATGAAGGAGGGAGGTAGAGCGTGGGTACTGCTGGCCTTTTACAAGGAGCCCAGTGCCTCAGGGATGACTTTCACCCTTGACAGTGACACTAACGCAGTCAGAGGACAAGGCCCACAGCCTGGTTGCCTCTTGATGCTGTTCCAAAGATGACTAAATGACAACATGGGGTCAAAGGGACAAACATTTCCAACCACAGCAGGAAATGAGGGAGGCACCCTCTCATGCTCCTCACCCCTCACCAAGCGCTCACTCAGCTCCTCCCAAGCAACTGCAGGCAGTGAACCATGGTGATTCCTAGCAGGTCCCCAGGAGCATGGGGAAACTGAGGCACAGAAGGACGGGGGAGCCTGTGAGGAGTCGCAGCCAGGTCGGCTTGCTGACCACCAGAGCCTCTTGGTCACCAGAACTGGCCTCGCCAGGCCTGGGCAGCAGGCATGGGGACGCCAGCCAGTACTTCTCAAGACTGCTTCCCTGGTTCCATCTTTCAACAATCAAAACATGTATCAAAAGGGATTTAATCCCAGCATTGTGAAGTGCTGTGTCAAACAGATTTGGCTCGATGTTTTCTTAAATTCTGTGAAACAGCTACTCCCAACAGTAATTCAATTACGTTACCATGGCTTTAAACAAAAACAGCAAATAAAAAGATCATATTTTGATGTACAAGGAAAGATCATTTTGAACCAGAGTCATAAATACTTTTGCAAAAGGAAATTAAGTCCAATTGTAAAAGGGAATCAGAAAAGTCTCAGAAAACTCAGAAGTTAGGGAAGGGACAGAGGCAAAACAGGAGAAAGCAAAGGCCCTGATAGGGAAGCTGCAGGGGTAGGCGTAGATTTTAAAACACCCGATTCATTCTACCTCCAACCCTGCTCACCAGGCTGTTCAGGCTGTCTCTGAGAACAGGACATGCCTGAAAGCCTGTGCCACCATAAATCTACATTGCAGGTACCCCCATGAGCCGAGGTGTGCATGTAGGCAGGGTGGCTCATTTATGTGGGAAAGTGTTTGAGTAAAAGGTGCCTGAGGGCCAGAGGCAGGGTCTCAGTGTTGCAGCTCTAAGCTTTAAGCATTAGCAGCTCCTGGTGCCTTCCAGCCACCTGTCAGCTCCTCAGCTGCAGTTCCTACCCCTTTGGCAACTTTCTGGGGCTCTTAGCCTCCCTGGGGCTTTTTTGCAGATCTGTGCAGGTCTCCCTCGCTCTCAGCTTTTTGCTGCTCCATCGAGCTCTAGCGTTCTTCTGGGCTAAAGGCCTTCAGTGTTGCCAACTCATTCTTAGTGCCACCCACTCACCCTACTCTTCCCAAGATACTAATCATGAGTAGGCAACCAGGTCACCTGAGCAAGTGGGGTGCTCTACTGGAGCCCATGTGCAGCAGAGTAGGAGGGGTGTCCTGGACCAGCTGAAGTATGAGGGCTGCTGCTTACACAGAGGAGCAGCAGGCACACGTGTGCAGTCTCCTGCATGTCATGGACTTACATGGGGACTTGTGGAGTCATGACAGAGGGGAGTGCAGTCATCTGGAGGTTGCAAGGCAGCGTCACCTGGGATAGATCTGTGTAGTAGGCCTGCTCCAGCCAATGCAGATGTCTCCCAAGTGGCTGTGAGATACCCAGGACATATCATGGTGGCAGTCTTCTAGACTGTAAGGGAGGCATGGCTTATCGAAGATCCCCCACCTCTGCGAATGGCAGAGCTGAAGCTGCAGTTGTTGCCACTTTCGTGGAGGCTCCAAGAGGGGTCCTCATTGGAGCTTGAGGACTTTAGCGGGAAGTGGAAGTGGGCCCCTTCCTTCCCAGTCTTTGCCCTGTCTGGCGCATCTTTACCACTCCTCAGAGAGGCAGCAGCAGCCCCTGAGTCCTGTCCCTAAATCACAGCTCCTGCCACGGCAGCCTAGACGGTGGCCGAAAGGCCATCACAGAGGTGGTAGGAAGACCCTAGAGCCAGCGGCTAGGGCCACTCTTGGGAAGCAAGGGAAGCATCCTGGTGGCTGTGGTTGGGAACACACACACACACACACACACACACACACACTCACCAGCTGTCAGGGAGAAGAGGGAGGCGTCATCCTGACTTCCCGTCTCAGGTCCACCTCTGCTGGGGAGCTGGGGGCCACTGCCGTCCCTGTGAGCATCTCCCTTGCCTCTCGTGGCCAGCCTAGGTCTTGCTTTCTCCTGCTCTTCATTTTTAGTTGTTGCTCACAAATCAAGAGGTGAGGAGCAAACAACCTCATAGAGAAGCCCAATGGCACCTCTTACTCCTGGTCCTTACCAAGACAGTGTAGGGAAGTGCAAGCACACAGCTGATCTTCAGTGGGTTTTCTTAATGTTCTCATGCGGTGTGGAATTCTTCCGGGGAAACGTGCAAAGAGACAAAGATGTTATAATCGGAGGCCCACGCAGAGAGAGCTGTAGCCCTTACTATGGTTTCAGGCTCAAATAACACCACAGGCCAACACATAAAATAACTTCTGCAGGGATTATAAGGATGAAATCAAAAAAACAAGCATCCTGGGAGGTTTTAATGTACCAATTTTAACACAGATTTTCACATGCTAAGTATATAAAAGTGAAGATGCAAAGGATCCAACGAATACCAGTCTTTAGTTTAGACTGTTTCAGAATAACACTTGAGGGTCTGTACAGCAATTCATCATGATTTCTTTTTTTTTTTTTTTTTTTTT